CCTTCCTTCCTTCCTTCCTTCCTTCCTCCCTCCCTCCCTCCCTTCCTCCCTTCCTTCCTTCCTTCCTTCCTTCCTTCCTTCTTCTGTCCTTCATTATTGTCACTGTCTCAGGAGTTAGAACTACAGCAAAATCAAGAACTTGCTTCCATTCAGAAACTGTCCAGGAGGCTTTCCTGGCCATTTCATGAGAAATAATTCATAGCACTTAAGTAGGAATTCCATATTTGCCAGATTACCCTTACCTCTGTAGGTAGATGCTGCCTTCAAGCCCGCAGCCTTTGGAACGCAGGGTGGCAAAGGAACCGCATACTCAGACCAAGTAACACAGAACGAGGGAGGCCCCTGGGGAAGGGTGCACTCCTTTTCTGGGCTGTCTGTTCAGCTGTGCTGTGAGTAGACAGGCAGGTGATCTATGACCTGCAAGGCAACATGAGAGAGCCTGACTGAGAGAAGCTCTTTCCCATTACCTGTAAACCCTGGGGTTCTCTAGCCTGGACTGTAGGCTGCCGTGTCTCCCGTGTAATGCCTGCCAAACCCAATCTGACTTTTTTTCCTCTTCTCTGTCTGCACCCCCAACCATTTTAACTGAGTTCTGTGTTTGCTAAGAACCTACTATATGCTTAGTACTGTAGTAGGTATTAGGGCATAGAAGTAGATAACTCAGGGTTGAGCTTACGATGCTGACAGTGGAAGAGCTCAGGAGGGAAACTGCAGCCTGTGAGCAAAATCCTACCCTCAGCCTGCTTTTTTTGTTTTGTTTTGTTTTCTTTTCCATTCACCTGTTCTTGTATAGCTCTCTGGCTAAGAGTAGTGTTTATCTTTTTAAAGGATTGCTAGAAGAAACAAAACAAGCTGTGCGTGGTAGTACATACTTGTAATCCCAGCACTCTGGGAGGCTGAGGCAAGAGCATCACAAGTTCAAGCCCAGCCCAAGCAACTTAGCGAGACTGTCTCAAAATAAAAAATTAAGAAAAGGACTGGGGCTGTAGCTCAGTGTGAAGGCTCTGATTTCACTACCAGTGCCTCAAAATAAATAAAAAGTACTGTACATAAATGCATGAAAACAGAATTGGCAACCTTGTATATGTCCTACAAAGCCTAAAATATCTACTGTCTCTTTTCAGAAAAAGTTTACCAACCCCTGGCATAATAATGAGAAAAAGAGATCAGGTAAAGGTAAAAGGCAGTGTATCACTTAAAAACAAGTATTTTGTGATTAGCTTATTACATGCAAGGCACAAAGCAATGTATGAAACCTTCATATTACACACACACACACACACACACACACACACACACACACAGGGGGAAGAGAGAGAGAGAGAAGGCAAAGAGAAAAAGCCTTTATAATGGGTTCTCATGAGAGAAAATGATAGAGGTTAGTGAACAAATCCATAAATTTCACATGGTGATAAGCACCACTGTGGAGCAGAGTTGAGGGCCAGGCTTGAGACCAGTAGGGACTAGAAGTTTAAGGTGCTTAGG